CAGCAAGCCAAGCTAATAAATGCCTAGGATAACCGAAATTCTCCAGTTTACGAAGAAGGGAACGAGGAATGGAATCAAAAGCAGATGAGTATTCCAGCAACACACCCAACAGATTTTGCAGTCATCAAAGGATTTCGTAATTTTATGTACAAGTGATGCAACTGCATCTAGCCTGCCTCTGTTTGGTTTATAGGCAAGCTGAAGAGGACCATACGGAACATCAAGTGAGGACTGAATGTGCGTAAGAACAACACATTCTACTAGTTTAAATCCAACAGAAGTTAAAGTTATATGACGGAAGCGTTTGGTTAGAACGTTTGAGATAGGGGATTTGGGAATGGAAACAATTGCTGCTCGTTTCCCACAGTCTGGTATGGAGTAGATTTTCAGGGAAGTTTTACAAAATAATTGTAACGTCTTACGAATCAAGCAAACGAGAGCGGAACAGAGAAGACTCGAAGTCGGAATTATACGCTTTACTCAACTAATAAATCCGGTACATGAGCTGTAATAGAAAGAGAGATTTATGTAATACGCAATATAAAAGGGTGTATAAACAAGAGAACCAGAATATGACAATGATGCTACTATTTCACCGAGAGAATTGGCCCCATATCTCAAAATGGAAGATAAAAGACCATCGGGACCAACATTGCACATGGTTTTCACGGTACGCAAAGGCTCGAAAGTTTCTTTTCGTAACGGCCTCTACTTGAACGGCATTGTCCAATTTCGTCAGACCTAATACTGACAAACGTCGTAGCTGGCCTCCATACGTTGGTGCTTGATGGTCAGATTTAGAAAAGCTGTGCGATTTGGGTGGCGTCTCGCGTCTGTTTCGCAATATGCAATCGCCAGATTAGCAAGGCTCGTTACTTCGTCGTGCACTGCAGCGTCAAAGTGCAGTGATAACACAAGACTGGGCGTCACCTGCTGGTTTTAAACTCGATGGCTAGTTTATTCCACGTTTATTCCACACTGCCCATTGCATCGAGCGGGGTGGGTAATGATAAGTGGGCTACTGCTCAGACATCCCAACCTTTGTTTAACTCTTTGTCTTCCGTATCCAACCCTATCCCTTTACCCCTTCTTCCGACCCGTGATATTCCCTCAGACAACTTGTTTATCACTCGCCAAAGGTCTTTGCCAAATAGCACTGTAACTAGTTTTACTGTAAATAAAGTGCAGATTCTGAAGCCTCGTCAACCTCTCAATCTGGGGGCTTTCAACATGAGGACTTATGCAGGTGGGTCAACAGGCGTGTCTTGCGCGTACAATGCAGTCTGTAGGAATCGATGTCTGTTGCGTATCGGAGACACGAATTCAGGATCCTAGTATTATAATCCACCTGAGTGCGCCGGGTCTGTCCTCGAAGTATTTCCTTCGCACATCAGGAGACGACGCAGCCCGCTCACTGGGTCAGCGTGGTGTAGGTATCGTACTAAACGA